AACAACTTACGATTGTTTAAAAGGGAAACAAATTATTTATTTAACTAAGTTTGCAAGTTTTAGTTTTACTTAAGCTTAATTTATTTTATAAATAAAAAAGTTAATTTTTTTAATACCTATTTTATGTTTCGCGTAGTTTGAAAAGTTTAACATATTTGAAGCAATTCTTCTTAGTAAGATAAACAAATGAAATAATTAAATCATTGAATTACTATAGAAAATTAAATTATCAAGATAGAAATCAACTAAAAAGGTTGAAAATACTTTATGACAAGGAAGCAAAACTGCTTCACAATATCGCTGATGATGTTTAGTGAGTGGGCTTTTTAATTTTAATTAGTATTTAAAGCAGAAAAAAGTATAACGAGTTTTAATTAGAGTTAGTAAACCATTATCTAGAAACTTTTCTTTATATCTAATTATTTGCTATATATATTTGTGTTCTGTCGTGACCTCAGGCGCGGTGCTTGTTCATCCGCAAGTTACTTTGTATGCGTTGTTTGTGTTTAGTAACCAGAAACTTCTTATATGTTTGTTACATAATTAGTTTTATTAACTATAACGATTATAACTTCATTGAAAACGCAATTATTTTTGTAAGTCTGATAAATCATAAAAATTGCTTTAAAAGATACATTACAATAAAAAACAAATACACAAAATTATATTTACATAAAGAATACAATCTCTTTTAAAATAAAAAATAAGAATATACTAATAAAATCTATGATTTATAACAAACTTTTAAAATTTTAACAATTTAATTAATATATATTTAAAACATTTATCTTCGTAAACAAATAATATATATTCTTTAAACAATGCTAGAAATCTCAAATCATAACAAATCGTGTATAATAAAATTTCTAAAACATTTTAACAGAATACTCTAGAACTTTTTTTCGCTTAATCAGCGTATTTTTTGAACCAATAGAATTAGTTTGTTCGTTAATTTGGCGGGTTTTTAGTGTTTGCAAATATTCTTTTTATTCTTTCGCACAAAGATGTTTTGAGAACATTCAAGTTTTTTATGTTTCCATGTATGTCCGTAAAACAAAAATTTTTTGTTTCATACATAAACTTAAATGTTCTCAAAACGAGTAAAAAACCTGGCCAGTTTTATGCAACTAAATATAATTTCTGTGGTCAGTATTCGAGAGCGATCGCTCCCGCTTCCTGACCAAGCCTGATGTTACATTATATATATGCCATGTCACATATATTTTATGTTATATTTATGTTACATTATATATATGTTACAATATATGTATATGTGACATAACAAAGGTTTTGTATATGTAATATTATGTTATATATATATGTTTCATTATATATATATGTTTCATTATATATATATATATATATATATATATATATGTATATATATATATATATATATATATATATATATATGTTACATTATACATATGTTACCTTATATATATGTGTAACTTTATAAATATGTTATGTTAAATATATATGTTATGTTATATATGTAATGTTCGGGGATGCAGAGCCCCAAAAAGGATTTGAAAGTCACAAAAAGATTACTTCTTCCAAGTTTTTAGTACCCTGTAGCTCTAAAAATATAAAAAATCTTATGGACTACTAATGGGATAAAAATTAAGACTTTAACGTAAAAGGAACAATCATATTTTGAGCCCAGACTGCATAAAAGCCAATGGTGGCTCCAGGATTCCGGGCTTAAAAACAATAAGTTCCAAGTCATTAAATCTTGTGATTTTTTTCTTATAACAGATTATAATTCAACCAATATGTTAAGAGCTTCTGGACGCTTCAGACCTGGAAAAAATAGAGATATAAAGCAGGATTCCTTTTGGAACTCTGCATCTCTGGTAATATTATATATATGTTACATCGCATATTTTGCATTCTATATGTATTTCAATATATATGTTGCATTAAGTAAATATTATATAAAACAGATGTTAATTCAAGTAATACAAATACAGTATAAAAATATTTATTATTATAGGCCGATTAAAAAAATTGAAAAAAGGTACTACTTTAATCAACTAAAAGAAGTAATACAAATAAACAAAAAAAAAAAACATTTTTTAATACACATGTTGACAAAAAGTCAATTGTTAATACCACAGCACTCTACTGTAGCATTAGGCTATAAGATAGTCGATGTAGCAACACTCCGCGCATGTTTCAAAAATATATGTTTTTAAAAAACAAAAACACTAATAATTAAAAAAAATTTCTAGTCATTATTAATGTGATTTTTTAAAAAATGATAAAACTTATACTATTGCATTATCTTAATTGTTTCAACTTTTAGAGGACATGTAGTTTAATTGTTGAAGTCACTTAAATGTTGTTGAAAGAGACTTTTTTTACCATTAAAGTCTCTTTTGACTATTATATATATATATATATATATATATATATATATATATATATATATATATATATATATATATATATATATATATATATATATATATATTATATATATATATATATAAAGCCTTCCCGGGAAAGGCGTGCGGTCGTACGCCTTGTACATCCATGCTTAAAGTAATTTTTTCAGACAACTTGACCACATTTTTATATAGTAAGCGTTTTAAGAATTCGCGGCAAAATAAAGCTATAAGAAACTAGAGACTAAATCAGTAATACTCGAAGAAAAGAACCGACTATACAAAGTAGAAAATATTAATAAAATAAGTTAAACAAATTTATTAATAAGAAAAAGAAAACTATTGTCTAAAAAATAATATACCTAAATATTTACTGTTTTTTTCTTGTTTTTAGAACATTTGTTATTTTCTACTACCATAATTGATACAAGTCAAGGAAAAAAGTAGATAAGAATATATTGAAAACAAAAATATTTTTTGATATACAATTTTTTTGCAACTTTTTTGGTCAGTATATTAAGGAAATACTTTATAAATTGCGTTAAAAACACAGACAATTTTTATATTTGTTTTTCAAATGTGTTTGCTAGACTTTACTGTTTTTATCAATGCACAGGAAAGCGAGAAAACTAATTGCTATTTATTTGTGGGGGGGAAAAAAAAAATTTTTATCTAAAAAAATGAAACAATGCTGCAAAATTTTGTGGGCTAGTGCATTGTTAATTTATTGAACTTTCTTAACGAACTTTTTAGGAGCCTTTTTAAACCTTTGTTTAAGTTTTTAAATACATTTTTTTAAACAGAGCAATTGTTATTTTCATTATCTCTAGTAACTCGTTATTATTGGAAATTGGGCAATATATTAGAAACAACTTCATACATGCATCAAATCCAGTAAATACATTTATTAAAGAAACTATGTTATTCTTTTATTTAACTTATTCCATCATTAACAAAATTTGTTAAACAAATAATATTTTTTTACAAATAAGTAGTAATCTATTTTCTTATTTTATTGAGAAAAAATGTCTAATATAGCAAAAACTTTTTTAAAAGTGAAACGACGTAAAAACAAATAAACAAAATAAACAAATAAATGTAATAAAAAAAAAATTAACAAAATTTCTTATAGTTCTAGCCTACATAGCAAATTAGTCAGTAGCAAAATAGTGAATAAATTGCACATCAAAACTTTCAGTTATTGTTAAAAGGTTATAAAAAATAATCTTTTTTTCAGCAACGACTTTAAAAAAAATAATACTTAAGTTGTATAAAAATTTTATAAAAAAAATAGCACTCCTAAGCAGAGTGCTGCTGCATCAACTATCTTTATATATACATATATATATATATATATATATATATATATATATATATATATATATATATATATATATATATATATATATATATATATATATATATATATAGATAGATAGATAGATAGATAGATAGATAGATAGATAGATAGATAGATAGATAGATAGATATAGATATATAGATATATAGATATACATATATATGTATATAATTGTGCTTTATCTATCAAATATTTGTAAATTTGTTTGTTAATTTAAGACCGGAAGAAGTGGATAGAGAATAATTTGGGTTGATAATCTTATAAAAGTTCCAAATCTGCAAAAAAAAAAAATTTAGATCCTCAAATAAAATCCTCAAATCTAAAAAAAATAAATTATTTTTATCATCCTAGTTTCCAAATATGCAAAAAAAAAAGAGACTAATTGAAATTTAAAATAATTAATAACTTCTTGTAGCTAAGTTTTATTTTAATTTTGTGAATTTATATTCATCATTATATTGTTTTCTCATAAACCTCGTTCTTGTGCTCTTATGTATATTACTTCTCTTTTTTTATAAAAATATTTGCTTGCACATATCTCTGCAACATAACATTTAAAACAATTTAGTTATTATAAAAGTAATTAATATTAAACTAATATATTTATGTTATAATCCTATAATTGTATAATAGAAAATAGAAATATGAAAATAGAAAATGTTAATAGAAAATATGGGTGGATTGGGATTTGATGGTTATTTGCTTATACAAATTGCATAAGCAAATGACCATCTCCAACTTCATGTTTTGCGTGGTGTTGTAAGAAGTGATGCAGCTATACGTCGATGAGAGGGTGGTCCAAGTTCGACAGAATAAAGCAGGTCCAACTAAATTTATATTGCGTTTTTGGACCTTGTCTAGGAGAGAAAAGAGCATCGTTAGAAGAACCAGCCCAAATATGACAACAGTATTACATACAGGTACATACATACAGGGACGAATAAGAGATTTGTATAGGAATCATAAGAATAATTGCATAATTAGCAGATGCTAATATGTAATGGATTGTATATGGTTACCATGAGAGATCAGTAGTGAATGATAATACAAGAAGAGGACTCAGTGAGAGAGTTGCCATTGATTAACATAGGAATGTCAATAATTTTGCGATAGTTGTTTTCAATTTGTTATATCATATTGGAAAAAAGTTTTGTTGGTCAGAGTCTAAATACAAACTTATCTTATCAGATTTTGTCCAAAAGTCTGGTGAAAAGAATTCGAAATTTTTAAATTGTTTGTAACGTTTCTGTAAAGTGTGTGGTGGTTTAGGTTAGTCTGAGTTAAAAATTAAATTTACATTTGTTGATGACAAAATGGATGTTTCAATATATTGTAATATATTGAAATGTAATAACTTGCGACTATTAATTGCAAAATTTAGAATGGAAAATGAATTCAAATTCCAGCAGGATAACGACCTAAAACTGCTAAGAAAACGGAGTTATACTTTGATACAAATTAACATTTGTGGTATATTTTTAGAGAATTTTTCAACTTGATAGAAGCTATAATAAGTACATGGGATAATACTAAATTTCATGAATTATGGTCATGATTTTAACTTTAATCTATATAATATTTTTTTTCGTGGTATTTTTTTTTTATTACATTTTAAATTTTCTATTTTAGTCTTAATTAATCAATCAAAAATACGTTACTATTTGATTTCTTTGAAGAAGCATTTAATTATAAATTTGATATCTTTTCTGAGACAGCTTGTTTCTTACAGTGGTAGTGACTTTTAATCCTATCGAAACTCAGTAATTATCACAATGTTAATATTTTTATTCTGATGAATGACAACAAATGAATGGCTATTACTTAGTCTTTTACTTATGCCATATTTGGTTTGGTTCTTTTAAGGATTTTTTTTCTTGTAGATTAAGTCCGAAAATGCAAATAATATTTTCTAGAGTGAAAACTTTTTTAAACTTAAAAGTTGAAATTAAAATATTAATAAGGTACACAATTTATATTATTAAGTTAATTTTGTTATTTTTTATAACTTTATTATTTATCGTGTCACTATTTGTCTTTTTTTTTTTTCATATTGTTTAGATGTTTAATATTTTATGTATCTGGGTCATTTTTATTTATTTTAGTGTTGGTGTCGTGGAGCCGATATTTTTTTAACTGAAACAATGGCTATTTTTACAACATTGTTGTTAGCGCCAGTGAGTCGAATAGCTGCTTGTGGTCTTGTCTTAGCACATTTTATGATAACTTTTTTTTTCCCTATTTGGATGTACCGTTTGCAAAGGTATAAAAAGTGAGTCGCCATTTTATCTTTATTACTGTTTTATTTAAAAAAATATCAGTATATTTATATGTATAAATTTATTTGTAGTAACATACATGGTCCTTGGGATGAAGCCCGAATATCGAATGGTTAAAAGCTTTGAACGCATTATTTGTAAATAGGCCATGATGAGCACAATGATTCATAAACAACATCAAATATCGTGCTTTGTACAAATCTGTTATTTCGGTTAAAATAAGAATAAACATTGTGTACTGTACTACAAAATATTTATTGTTTAAATGTTTGGCATTTTCAATAATTTAACTTCCGTTTAAAGATTGCAAAATCTGAAAAATATTTCGACTTTTGTCTTATGAATAAATAGATATTCATAAGATTTATGACGATAATAATATTATAAATAGGAGTTTATAAATATTATTGTACTTATTTATTTAAAAAATTTGTATGATAAACAATTATCGCCACAAAACTTATGAGTTAGAGGGTACGAATAATAGTAGTCGTAAATCTTATTGATATGAGAGTGTGGTCACAAATCTTATAAACAAGAGAGCATGAATAACTGAATATACGATTAGGCCCTATGCAGAAACCAGACTTGTCTAAAAAGCTGCTTTAATCAAATATTTAGAAACTTGAGACATAAATACGTCTTTTGCTACAAAAATATCTGCTAATTATAATATAGAAGTAAAGCCAGGTTCAAATTTGCCTTAACTGCAGAAAGCCAACATGTCTGATTTTTGCAATTAATTTTATGTATTGATTGGTTGATGTTTCTTTTTTGTACTTTACATAGGCTTTTAAATGTTTTTAGGGTTAAAAAAAAAAGTTTAGGAGGAAATGTTTGCAACAAAGATTAGCGAGGTGTTTTTACATATTTTCAAAATTATTCTAAAAAATATTCAAAAAAGTTATGACTTTTTATCAAAATTATTAACTAAAAAATAAAATTGTTTTAATTTTGGTTATTAAAATTAGATTTTGTAGATATCTTTAATGATAATCAACGACATTAAACAATTATTATTCCAAAAGATCTTTTTTTTTTTTTCAAAAGAAGATAAATTGACAAGGCAAATTTAATTTTCAAAATAATGAGAATCAGGCTATATTATGTCTGCTTCCAAAAAAGTTCGAGTATGTCTAAATTTAATACTGACTCCACACTAACAAGAATAAAAAAAAATTTCATTTGAGAATCGTGATCCTAAAGACCTATTTGAATTATAATTATTTCACAAATCCTTAAGACCTATTCCGCACTAACAATAATTAGGAATTATTTCATTGAGAATTAGATCATTAAGACGTATTTGGATTATAGATATTTCACATATAATGAAGTACTAAATGTACTCACCTTTTCAACAATAAGTGTCTTCCAATAAAAAAAAGTAGGCTTTAATCTACACTAGGCATTTCTCTAAAGCAAATTTATAAAGCAAGCAACAACTTTTTTTAAGACCTGGAGGGGCAGAAAGTCATCAAAATCTTGTCTAACCGAAAAATTTAGTGAGCATGATAAACATTTGACATCCTTTTATAGCTCAACAAATATGCTTTTTGATGTACCAAACTTGGAAAATCAAACAAGGAAAGCTCAGTGTGTGATAGTGTATTTCCATTACTTTTCTGGATTAATTGATCATATAATTGAGAAACGTGAACTTTCCTCAAATGAGTTTAATTTGTTATTCTAAAAGAGCTCATAATTTTTTCAAGATTCTGGTTTAAAGAAACTCATTATTTTGGTTCAATCTGTAAATGAACCTTATGAAAATTTAAAACAAATTTTAGATATGCTTGCTTCTGAAATAATTGCTTTCGCAGCAACTGTAGACATAAAATTGGCTAACGTATTCCTCGGAATAGACTCTGCTGCTTCCACGTACCATGTCCCCGGTGTTACGAACACTTGGGATGATTATATCAAATCCCCATAACTATCAAGTAGATGGTGGAGTTCATTCACACAAAAAAACAAAGCTTTCGGTAGCTCAATACAAAAATTACACGAACCTACCTTTGGGTGATTTTTCAGATGACACACTTGTTCTTGATTTCCTGCTTGTCATGGATTTACACATGGTTCTTAGAATAACCAACCACCATTTTGATCACTTGAACACTATTTTAAATCAAATAGCTTTTTATTTCTTTAAAGCTACTGACTAATCATATAAATTGAGCATCCAAAAGCCTCCATTACACATAGGGAATATCAATGGTAGTCAATGTAAAAAACTCTTGAATAAAATTGACTTGGTTTAACCATTACTAGAAAGTGCTATAATTGGATTACAAGGAACAAAAATAATTGCTTCTTTCAATGAAGTTATAAAATCATGCTTTGGTAACAGTCTTGATTCCAATTACAAAGACTTTTCATTTGAAAAGGCATACAGAGATCTTGAAATTTCAATCACCCCAAAAGTGCATGTCAGCATCCAGCACATAAGCCAATATTATGAAATCAGTCCAAAATGACACTGATCAGCAAATATTCAAAAGAATTTTTCAAAAAGGACTTGCCTTTTATAGTGAACAAGTACCAGAATCCGTTCATTACGGTTTTATTAGGTTAATTTATTTTTAACTGTCGCTACGTTTGCCTAAAGAGTTTTACGAAGGAAAACATGCTGGACAATTTTAATCACCTTAGCAGCTTGAATTCAAAAACGAAACAAGGTATTCACAATTGTAAAGTACTTCATTCAGCTAAATGGGGTACCTACTAGAGTTTGTTGGAAATTATTCATTGAGACATTCACCTACTAAAAAATCAACAAAAATATTTTTGTGAACATTTTAGAGTTAAATATGACTTTAGATTTGGAAGACCAGTCATTCTTAATGCTATGGGTGTATAACATATATCTATATACATATATTAGGATTTTGATACTGTTTATGTTTTTTACTTTTACGTTACATTTTTGTCTTCAATTTTAACTTTGTAACGAGTTACTTTTAAAAAAAGTACAAAAATAATCAAAATGTATTACCATTAAATTTGAATTAAAAACCGTAATATCAAATGTTATCGCACACTTGCCAAAACCGGTTCAAAATTAAGATTACACTGCCCATCGCAATAAAAAAAGCACAATTTTTTTTTATCTTGGTAAAAATAAAATGGCGTCCTTTAAAGAAAATAGCAAATTTGATAATAAATCTTCGTTGCTGCATTTAAATGGAATGCTCAAAGGTTTAAATGTTAGTGATAAAACTTGTAAGTTTATTTGTTTGCTGTGCTCACAAAGCCTAAAGAGGTCTAGGTATACAGTAATTCTCTATCCAATTTCAGAAAACATGTTGAGGTTAGTGTTATATATACACTATATATGTGTGTGGGATTGTGTGTTTATTTGTCAACTGAATTGCCTGCGAGCGTCTTTTTAGTGAAGCAGAAGTGTTTTTAGGCCAAATCGTAAAACAATGACGGATGAATGTTAATAAAAACATTTCAAAAGACTTTTGATTTCATAATGACATTTTAGGATTAAACTTGAATATTTGAACATTTTTCATTTTACTTCTATATTAATTAAAGTTTTATCTAAAAAATAAAAACGTTTTTCTTTTTATTTAGAAAAGTACTTTTTACTTTGTAACGAAAAAGCATTTTCGATGTATTTACTTTTACTTAAGTATTTTGGTTTGCTGGTACTTTTTACTTTTACTTAGTTACATTTAGCGCCAGTACATTGCACATACTTAAGTACATTTAAAAAGTAACGACCCCAGCTCTGTTCTTAGCAAATGAAACACAAAAAAATTTAGAAGAGCGGCATATAGTTTATTAACTCCACAGGGAGACCACTGCGAAACCATTCTAATTTATTTTGTGACAAAGCAACCCTATAATTAAATTAATTTACCTAAAAGCGCATGAATTACGTGAGAAATTTTAAGCTTCTCATTTTTTTTAAATTCAAAACACAAAAAACAATTTCCGTTTAAGAAAATTTTTAAACACGAGAATTTTTTTATATCAAAAATACCATTAACTACTTTTCTACGCGCTAGAAAAAGATGAAATCCTGAAAAAAGTTTCTGTTGCAAAATTTACAAATTTTCAATCTTACAGTTGTTATTGCATTTTTTGTAATAAACAATTTTTTGTAAGTGACAACCAATCCCATTCTCCTAAAAAATATAACCTTGTAAATCATATTTCTTCCTAAAAGGTATTTATAAAATTCTTTTTGATAAAAATTTAAGTGGATTTGTACGAAAAACCGCATTTAAGTGGATTTTTACGAAAGTAATTTCTAATAAAGGATCTTTTCTTTTCATTTAAATTTTTAAAATAAAAATTACAAACTACGTTCAAATAAATTGCATAGTAAAAAGACAAACAAAAATAAACACGCGCGTTATTTGAAAAAGTAAAAAAACAGTTTTTTGAACGTAATTTGATGACGATTAATTGATTTTAATGATGACGATGATGTGATTTTAATGATGACGATGAAATGATTTTAATGATGATGATGAAGTGATTTTAATGATGATGTAGTGATTTTGATGATGATAACGATTGAAGTGATTCGATGATGATAATGAAGTCATCGTAACGTAGATAATATTAGTATTAAAATATTTTCAAATAAGTAAAACAAAATTTTACCGGAAATAAGAACTAAACATTTTTAAAAACTCAAAAATATTATTAGTTTATATTACTACTATTTGAAGAAATAAAATGTGTAAAGAAAAATATAAAACAAACAAAAAAACGTAAAAAGGTTTATAAATAAATTTAAAGATATTTTATCACATTATCAGTTAAAAAAAAAAAGAAATTAACTCGTTATCACATTACCAGAATACTATAAAAAGATGAAATCAACTCGATTATGGTAATCATTTAAAACGTTAACTCTTTAATGTAAACCTATTTATATTATAGTCACGTAAGATTTATATTATAGTCACGTAAGATTTATAGCTAGGCTGTCAATTTATCGTAATAAGTTTTTACGTTGTACATCGTGATAAGTTTTTACGTTGGATAATATCTATCGTACTTTAAATCCATTTAATAACACATCATCTCAAAATAATAATGTGACTTTTTTTTGTCTTTCCGAAAACAAAGAATTCTACCACGAAAAAAGTTTTTTGCAATCAAATAGTACCAACCAAGAATTTCTTTGCAATGTTCAAATAGTACCAACCAAGAATTTCTTTGCAATGTTCAAATAATACCAACCAAGAATTTCTTTGCAATGTTCAAATAGTACCAACCAAGAATTTCTTTGCAATGTTTAAATCGTACCAACCAAGAATTTCTTTGCAATGTTCAAATAGTACCAACCAAGAATTTCTTTGCAATGTTCCAATAGTACCAACCAAGAATTTCTTTGCAATGTTCAAATAGTACAAACCAAGAATTTCTTTGCAATCCTCAAATAGTACAAACCAAGAATTTCTTTGCAATGCTCAAATAATACAACCAAAGTTTTTGGCAATTTTCAAGTAGTACAAACAAGTTTTTTTTTTTTTTTTTTTTTGCAATGTTCAAATAGCATAATCATTTTTTGCAATGTTTAAATATTACAACCAGTTTTTTTGGTTGTACTATTTGAACATTGCAAAAAATTTTTTAATGTTTGTCGATTAAGTTGATTAATAAAAATAAAGTTTCAACGTGTCTACAATTTCAATTTTGATGATTACAACACAAATTCGAATCAGAATGTAAGTTGTAATCCTGATTGATTGATTGTATTCACGAAATACTTTATCGATAACTGATATTTAATTATTTCATCATTATTCTTATCTTGTAGATAAAAAATATCATCATGAATATTCTCATCTTGTAGGCGGCATCTTAATATCTACTCGTACTAATAATGTATCATTAGAAATATATCCACGCGTACGTAACGTTGTATGTCGAATCAATTCTATATATCCGTACCCTTTATGATTACGATTAATCTTGGGTCTTAAAAAAGCTTGCAATGTTGGTCTAGCAGTTAAAGTTTCGCAAACATGTTGAGGATCACGAGTATCTTGGTCCAGTATTGTAAAAATTACATTTCCAGGAAATGGCCATTCAATTAAACTGTCAAACTCACCTTGCATCATATGAACAAACATGGAGACATGGGTTCCTGCACCAGAATCAATTCCATTTAAATTGATTCGTAAGCACATTTTATAGCCTAGCAACAAATGAAAGAAAACATATATTGATAGAAAATAAAATTAAGTTTATTTTTTTGACGTAAAAACTATAATAAATAAAATGTTCTTTTATGAAGTTTAAAATTTTATAAAACAAATGAATAAAAAAAAGTTTTTAAAACTTAAAAAGCAAATGAATAATAAAATTAAAAACATAAAAAACGAATGAATAAATGGTTTAGAAACCAAAAAAATACAAGCTTATAAACCCTGGTTATATTTTGATTTCATCAGAACCAACTTTATCGATTAGTATTTTTTTTAAACAATTTTAATTGGTTAACTTTTTTTTTTGTTGAAAAACTTCAAATAATAAGCTTGACATTTTTTAATTGAAATCCGAAAACAAACTTCTTATACTAATAAGCAAATAAAGTTTGGTTCAAATACAAATATAAAAATCTTTGATTTAAAAATAATATGATAATTCAATACAAAGAAAAAAAAACAAACGACATTGCGTAATTAATTTTAAACTTTTCTCAAGTCTTTAATTTACTAGCTTTAAACTGGTTTGAACATCTGTCGCTTTAGAAGTAACATAAACTAGTTTGGACATCTGTCGCTTTAGAAGTAGCATAAATTGTTTTGAAAAAATTCGTTTTGATCAATCAAATTCAAGTTTTATGACACAAACATTTAATGACAGATACATTTTATAGCAATTACAAAACATCTGAAGTAACTAACTATTTTTTATAGAGTAAAGCAGATACAATTTAATTTATATAGAGTAAAAACAGAATTGAATAGCAAGTTAAGTTGAATATCTTTTGAATTTTTACTGTTTATAAACTTTTAATAGTGAGCAGGGATTAGGTTCAAGAAAACTAAGAAACTACCTTACCTAAAAAATTCACTTTACCTCAAGAAATCACCTTTGATCTTTAAATTTAAAGAAAATCAATAGTAAAAATTATCAAGTATTACACTGTCGTTTTTTTATTATATAAATTGAAAAAAATAGGAAAAAGGATTGAAAGACTACAAGGCTCACAGTCCAATACACTGTTGCAGCAATCCGATACATGTTGCAGCAGTCCAATACACTGTTGCAGCAAAAACCTTTTTTTCTTTTTCCTAAGTTGTTATTTTAGCCCGTATACCACCAGATTTTCTTTTTCCTTAGTCAGCCATGATTAATTACTTTGAAAGATTAAAAGTAAATAAATATAATACAAAAACTAGACTTAAGCTCTAAAATAAATTAAAAACTGAATAATGACGTGTCACATGTGACGTTGTAAAAAAATTCGGACAAATACTAATGGGTAGAGACAATGTTAACACTCAATTTGTCATCTTTTTTATTAAAAATATTAGGAAATCATAAAAAAAAAGTAAATTTTTTTTTTTTTTTGCAACAAAACATTTTCATTTAATTTAATAAACTCCACAAAGTTCTGATTTCAAAATTTTTTCTGTTAAAATGGCCTCTGTTACCTAATGTTCCCGGCAAATAAATGTGGTGGCCATGGGTAAAGGCACTTTTGAAAATAATAATTTAAAAACTAAACTTAAAATTTATTCTTAAAATAAAAACTCTGAGGATCCTTTTTCCAGAACTGAATTTGCAGAAAAAAGTTATGAAAAAAAAAACTGAAATAAAAAGATTTCCTGATAAACTTTATTTCACACAAATTTAATAAATAAGTTATTAATCTAGTCCTTATGTAAATATGAGTCACCCACAACCACAGTACAACCTTTTTTTTACACTACCTTTTTTTTACACTACCTTTTTTTTACAATACCTTTTTTTTACACTACCTTTTTTTTGCACTACCTTTTTTTTGCACTACCTTTTTTTTACACTACCTTTTTTTTACACTACCTTTTTTTTACACTACCTTTTTTTGCTTTTTTAATATCTTGAAAAAAAAACAAAAAAAAACAACTAATTATCATAAAAAAAAATATATCAAGAACAAATCAATGCTGCAATTGTACAAAAGCATCTTATTATTAATTAATGCAAAATTAAAATTTATTCTAAACACGTTTTTATTGTTTAAGATAGTATGCAAGCTCTTAATACACGTTTTCATTGTTCAAGATAGAATACTTTCATTGTTCAAGATAGAACAATTTTACTGGATTAACATCAGTTGTAATATTTAAACTAGCGATTGAGGTATTAATAGAAAACATGTACTTGTTACTAATTTTTTACAACATACAAAACAAACTAATTTACTATTAAATGGTAAAACAGGCAAAGTTTGGTACTACGCTTTCATAAAACATTGGAAACACATTAGGTGAGATAACTGCAAGTAAAATTGCAACACTCAAAGCAATGTCTTGCACTGAAAATAATATAAATACTTCAATACATGCTTACTATACAACCATTATTTTATAGAACAGCTTTACTTTGTATTAAAAACAACATCATCCTTATATGCCTACCAGCTCATTTGTTACACACAGCTTTTAGATTTGAGCATTAAGCCATTGGAAAATGGAGTTTCATAAAAATCTGTTTAGTTTAGGCCCTGCAAATCAGAAATTTAAACATCAAATCAAATCTTGAATATATTAACCTAATTATTTGCAAATTGAAGCAAATCTCAAATCTTATAATTTTTTTTTTACTATTTCAATTATTTATAAAAACATATACTGGTCAGTAAGGTTATGTCATTTTTTGAGCCTGTTATGCCCATACTTCTATAACCTGAGAAATGTTACGTAATTAATAAAAAACTGGTTTATTGGTTGTCTAGTTGTAAAAATATCCCCCTCCGCTAGTTAATATTGCATATTCCCATTTGTTTGAATTTTTAGGAGATCTTCCATCAATTTAATACCATGTTCAGCAATGATATTTGTCCTGGAAATTGAAGTGCACTATCTACTTTGCTCCAGTGTTTCATAAAGCACTTTAAAGCAGTTGTACACTTAAGTTCAGTCAATTATTAAATAACCACAGATTTTTCAATAACGGTAGCTGCACTTTCAAGTTTATACCTCCATGTTGGTATAAATAGGCAATAAAAACATATGATGCTCTAGAGTTCCATCTTGCACTGTGCAATGGAGGAAGCTTATGCCACTTAATTTTTGGAAATTTTTTTGATTCTTGTAGTAACGAAAAGTAATGAAAAAGCTTCACATAACTCTTAATGGAATTTGAAATCATCTCGTCATCTTAGGTTAATGTAATAATTAGGCTCAGCTTCAAATATGTATAACTTTTTAAAGATTTTCATAATTTTTGGTTAAATCCTTTACAAATTTATAATTAAAACCAAGAGTAATTGATTTATAATTTTTAAAATGATCAAAAACATGTTTTAAAATGAGATCCAGTATATGATGCTGACATTCTAAATATTGTGGTTTAGTAAAGCCTCTGGTTTCCATTTGATTTTGTATTTTTACAACTATACCATTTAATTTTCCTATGTTTACTGCTGTTGTGCCATATATAGTCATTGTAATACATTTCCATGTTTTTCTATAACCTTTTCAATTTTTCTTCCAAATGATTTTTCAGAAATACTTAAAACAGAATTTTACTAACATTATTAAAACAGAATATTACTAACATATATTATTCATACATTTTAGATGCCAGATAGTAGCAACGTCCAATAATAAAAGTTTTTTTTAGCATTCTATTAAATGAATATAATGGTTTTTCAATAAAAGTTAGACCAATTCCTGATGTTGTACATTTAAAATGAAACTAAATTTTTTGTACATACTCTTGAATATTTGTCAACAAAAGTTTTGCTATATTTATTGACATATTAGAAAAATCTAAAATGCATGGATAATATATGTTAGTAATATTCAGTTTTAATATTATTTCTATAAAAATACTTTTCTTCAAAAACTCACTGTATTAAATATAAAATTAATTAAAAGGACATTGAAATGCAAAAAATACATAATAAGGATTAAGACATAAAAAACATGAGTACTAACTATTTTCTGTATTTGTTTAATATTTCAGTTCAGAGCAACATATTAATAACATAATTTTGATAACATAACTTAATTGTGTGTGAGCAGGGGACATTTTAAAACTATTTTTAACTATATTCAATTTTACTGCAAAATTTTAATATTAACTATCAATTTCTCAGGTTTTTAAACTAAGGCCAATTAAAACTATGACAAAAATTAAAAAAATCATAACCCTACTGGTCAGGTATGGTTTAGGATCATAATGATCACCATGCTAATGGAAACATGCAATCCAGCATTATCTGTCCTATGTCCTGCTGTCTTTTAGGATTTTTTTTTTATAGGCAAAGGCTAGGAAAAAATTAACTCTGATTTAAAATTCCCCTGCCTTGTGGCTCTTGGTTGAGTAAAGGCTAGAGATGATGTCTTGATAAAAATACTCATTTTGGGCAGACATTAGCTGCATCCAGCTACTGAATTGTATAAAGCCTCCTAGACAAAGACTAAGACTCAGCCTCATACATTTTTTCACTTATTAGGCGGGTGTAGATGTAAACTTGTGATACATTTTTTTTGCCTAGAATAATGATTAAAACAGCTATTATAATTAGAAAAAATTTACATGTGGTACAAAGGCCGCCATTATATAATTCAGTATTTTACTGTGACTTATATAATATATTTGTAAAATCTACTGATACTAAATAAAGTTAAATAAATAATAATAAATGAATGTTGGATCATCTTGAATTATAAATATTTAGTAATATTTGCTTGTGCTTCCTTGATAGTTACTATGCAACTCTTCCTGTTATCCTTTAATAAACAGTTCTAAAACTTAATAGCTTAATGGTTCTAAGGGTGGATGGTAGTAAGGTTTCCTGAACTCTAGAGTAGCTCTCAGAGAAGATTATTTTATCAACAGCTGTAAAATATCAGAGAATTAACAGTGCCATATTATCCATTGATGGTGTCCATGTTAGTGCTTTTGCTATGCATAGTTGAGGCCACACTAGAAGCCCTAAGTTACAAGTTTTAGTTAACTAGCAGAAAAGAAGCATATCTCATTGCCATCCCATAATGCCATGCCCTATCTATTATAAAGTTCTTTAAGTTTAACCATGACCAAAGTACCCAAAAACATTAAACATAAAAAACTGCAACCACATAACCACTTCACATTATCTTTTACAAATAATAAAGACCACCGAGAAAAAAGTTGTTAATACAACTTTTTAGATTCTAAAATAGTGGCAACACTGCTTTACTTTATCATCAACATCCTGTGGGTGTGGCTGAGTATTTAAATTATTGATTTGAATTTGAATCTGTTAACTGTTATTGTAGAATTTTGTGTTTTAGTGAACATTTGGTATATTTTGCCTTGTAAAATGTAAGTTGTGGACAAGTGAATATGTATGGTTCAAATGACCTTTAAGTGAATATTTGTTAGATTATTGCTGTTGATAGTGATACAGTTTAATATTTTTCTGATTTTAAATATGTGATTTTGATTATTTAAGAATTTTTTGTTGTCAGATTATATTATATTTTCAAAATATGGGTAAAGTTGCTGACCCTAGTCCCAGAAAGCGAGGCAAAGTTGAAGCATTAATAAGGTTGGAAACATTTTCACAATGGGAAATTGCTAAAAAACGTGGACTAAGTAAAACAGCAGTTTTTACCATCAAGAAACAATTGCACTTTGGTTTTACGTCCTCTCCAAGATGTTCCGCTTCAGACCGAAAACCAGTCATGACGCCACGTGCAAGACAGGTTCTGCTTGTAAACTGTCAAAAAAACAGAAGAATGAACAGCAAGCAGCTCCAGGGTGTGCTGCAGGAGCACCATACTAATGTCTCAACAAGTTGTGTTTGAAGATGTCTGTTACAAGATGGATTTGTAGCACGTCGACCACACAAAAAACGGCTCTAAACCAATGTTCAACAAACACGATGGTTGTAGTGGGCCATGGATCACAAAGATTGGACCACAGAACAATGGAGAAAGGTATTGTACCCTTTACCATTTTTTATATAAGAGCTTACAATCATGTACTCTAAGTTGAAGCAAAATCTAACATATTTTTTCATATAATAATGATGTTTAATATCATACATTACCCGCTAGTGCAATTGTTTTATGTCCATAGGTATCGAAAATTGTAGCAATGGTTATGTTTATTGCATGAATGTAAAATGAAGTGAACATGTAAACAGTGATTACAGGATGTTAATCTAATGTATGCTCAAGGCTTTTACAATGTTTGTATTTTTAGGTTTGCTTCAGTGATGAGTTTATGTTCAAGATACTCAACGATAACTGTCAGTAACTGCACCGTCGTTCAGGGGAAGAATTTCATCCGCAATGTCTGGTGAAGACCGTTAAGCATCCTACTTCAGTAATGTAATGGTCGATGATAAGTTCTCATGGTGTAGGACCCCTTAGAATTGTTGAAGGCAGAATGGATCAACATCAATACATCAACATAATGTAAAAAAAAACTTCTACCTCAACTTCCAATTCATTTACCTGATGATGGTTGAATCTTTCAACAAGAAAGCGCACCCTGTCATACGGCACGCTCTGTTACAAACTTTTTGAACCATAATAATGTTCCTATCCTACCATGGACTGGTAATTCACCTGATATGAACCCAATTGAAAACTTGTGGAAGATAGTCAAAAAGAGAATTGCTGACAGAAAGCCAACAATAAAAGTCGTATTGATTGAGACGTTCTTAGAGGTTTGGACACATGATCCAGAAATACAAGACATGTGTCCAATACTTATTGATAGAATGCCTAAGAGGGTTGAAAAACTTATTGCAGCTAGAGAAGTATCCTCAAAATACTGAACTAGGCTCACTTTATGACATTGTGTGTGTGTCTTTAAAAGAAATACTACAAAAATTCACTTTTTCGACAATGGTCCTAATATTTTTCACACCACTGTATATATATAATATGTATATATATAATAATGTATATATATAATAATGTATATATATAATAATGTATATATATAATAATGTATATACATAATAATGTATATATATATATAATAATGTATATATATAATATATATTGTATATATGTAATAATGTATATATATGTATCTATAAACACAACGTGAACTTCAATCCAACATGAAATATTTATAATCACTTATAATCACTTATAGGGTTTGTCAAGATTTAGGCAGCCCCAGCCATAGCCCCAGCTATGGTTAATCAAACCAGGCCCTGGCTCTGGTCAAGTATCAGCTCCGGTCGCTTACTATTTGAACTTAACATAAACAGTATTGGTTCAAAAAAGACATTTTTTAAACATCTTATAAATGTTGAAGTTGTGCTAGAGTTTTATACACTTAAAGTGGTTTTTGAACGTACCCATTGGGTATTTCTTAAAAATTGTAATTTTTATGATGGCTACAACTATTAGAGTAATAACATTCTAATAATGTTAAAAAGTGTAATTTTAATAGGTAGAAAAGACTGTAAAATGAATTTTATTTTTTGCTATTTTAAAATCATTAGTTTTAACTTAAAATAATAGATTTTAGGTCATCTAGCATTATATACTTTGCATCTGATCAATGCATGAAAAATATAACCTAATAAATCTTCCCTACAATCCCAAAAAAATAAAAATAAAATTTATTTTCTAAAAAATTAAATCATAAAAAGATTAAATTTAAAAAAAACCATTTCATAAATTAACAGATTTTTTCAAGTAAAAATTACCTGGAACACCAGTATAAAAGGGTAAACTATGAATAGCGGGAACTTCACCACTTAATGCTTGTCTGAACAACTGGTCAAAATTACTTATCCTCCATATAAAATTTCCCTGAAAAAATAAATTAAGAAACTAAACAAAAAAACTAATTCTAGCACTTTTTAATTAGTGTTACACCAATAGACTAGTGTTACACCAATAGACTAGTGTTACACCAATAAACTAGTTTTAAACCAATAGACTAGCGTTACACCAATAAACTAGTGTTACACCAATAGACTAGTGTTACACCAATAGACTAGTGTTACACCAATAGGCTAAAATAACTTCACATTATAATCATAATAGCTGATTATAATAGGTGACTAAAGTTATTTTAGTCACCTTTACTATTTTAGCCACATTGATAATTATTTTAAATTCAAAATCAAATTAATTCTGACAATAAGAAAAAAATCATCTAAAAATAAAAATATTAACATTTAAAAATAAATAATTTTCCTAAAGATTTTATAGAAAGTAAATCAAAGTTTTTTGTTGAACTTTTTCATGACTTTTTTCATGACTTCCATGTTGAACATTTTGTTGAACATTTTGTTGAACATTTTCATGACTTTTTTCATGACTTTTTTCATGACTTTTTTCATGACTTTTTTCATGACTTTTTTCATGACTTTTTTCATGACTTTTTTCATGACTTTTTTCATGACTTTTTTCATGACTTTTTTCATGACTTTTTTCATGACTTTTTTCATGACTTTTTTCATGACTTTTTTCATGACTTTTTTCATGACTTTTTTCATGACAAAATGTACTAATCAGAGTAAAAGTAATCAGTTTTTTTCTAAGTTTGTCGGGAAGCAAACGCCGACAAACTTAGAAAAAAAGTTCATCAGCTATCTGGTGAAACAGGGACTATTCCAATGTTTATTTATTAAATAATTGAACAAATTTTAACATGTTTTAAGTAAAATATTAATAAATATTATGCCAAGCATGTGACTATTGGAGTCTTTATGAATTAAAGAAGATAACCATCAACACTAAGATCACAAGATGAGACAATATGTTACTGTTAGTGGTCCTCTCCAAAAGATCACAAGATGAGACAATATATTACTGTTAGTGGTCCTCTCCAAAAATTATTTTGAACTAATTAACTTTGGAACTTTTAGCTGTTTTAATAAAACACTATTATTAATAATAATAATAAAAACTAATGAAAAGTAAAACACCAGTCAAATAACATGTTCGTTATTAAATAAATTTTTAGATAACATTTTTCAAATTTTATCTGTTCATTCTGTTTGATTGTCTTTTTGTTGTACAACTTATATTTTAAATAAAGAAAGAAATGAGCTTAATATATGAACAAACAAAAAAATAAACTTATGAATAACTGATCTGATGATAATCTGCACAACAAAATGCTTTAAGTTGATGCACTATTTTTATATTACAAATTTTAAAAATACTATTTTTATTTTTTAAAATTTGTAACAGTTTAGTATAAAACCTGTGCAAGTCTAAATTTTATTTTATTAAAAACTTTTAATCATAAACTTACTTTCCAGGTTCTTGCACTGACTTCATTGATAACTTCATTTTGAGCTTTAACTTCAATACTTATACTTTCAATGCGAGATTCTAACTCACTTCTAGTATGCTTAAGTTCACTACGACACACTTCAGATGTAGCCTTTACCTGATTGATCTTTTTCTCAAGTTCATCAAATCTTCCAACAATGCTAGCCTAAAAAAATATTTGTAAATGTTTAAAACTTTGAAATAAAAATTTTCACTTTGAAGGAATAAAACTAACTGTAAAATCATTTTAAATGTTTTGTTTTAATTTACTTAAGATAACTGGCTTTTTACAAAATATTGATTCTATATTTAAATTATGATTTAAAAGAAATAACTATGAAAAAATTATAAAATCAATACATTTTTTTTTCCTGTGCAAGAAAATGTACTAACGCTTGTAATTGTTAAATAATTTGCAAGTTTTATCAATTAACATTTGTTAAAGTGTATTTGCTAATTAGTGTTTAATTTAAAATTTTAGAACTAAGATTGTAGTAAAAAAAATTATCCCTTTCTTAGTATAATACAATTTTACAAATTGGGTACTTAATATAATCACATTGTTTGAATTTTTTTTTTTTTTTTTTATTATACTTCACTTCCTCAAGGCCGAGAATGCCACTACAGACGAGGAGGCTACTTATTTTGTGGCTATAACCCTCTCTCAACTCTATAACTCCGAAACACGAACCTTGACGAACAAGGCCGCTGCGCAGAGAAACAAGTTGAGCGCGGTACTATCAGGGACGTGGTGGGGATCGAACTCAGAACCACTCGTTTATGAAGCGAGCGCTTTACCACTAAACCACTACCGCATGAATTAAATTACAATTAAATTACAATTAAAATAACATATCTTATTAAGATCAATAAAAATAAAGTAAAATATATTTTAAAAAAATATCAAGACACATGCAACAAACCCGAATACAAAAAAAAAAATTACTTTAGCTTTATTATTTTTCAGTGAAAGTATGTGAGCAAGTGTGCAATTATATGCACATACACAATTATATATGCAATTATATGTTTACACACATATAATTCATATGAATATATAGTATGCATATACATATATATATATATACATATATATATATATATGTATATATATATATATATATATATATATATATATATATATATATATATATATATATATATATATATATATGTATATATATATATACATATATATATATATATATATATATATATATATACATATGTATATGCATACTATACCCTATATAGATATATATTTCTCTGTGCAACAATGTAAACTTTTTCCAATATGGTTTTCGTAGAAAAGGAAGAAAAAATCAAAGAATAGTAAAAGAAACTTATTAGTACCCTAACCCAAATTACCAGTTGATGACACAGCATATCAGTCAATGTTTGTGCTGAAATCCTCTTAATAAGTATGAAGTTATATTGCTGTGATATGTGTGTATATAAATATCTATATCTATCTATCTATATATATTTATATATATATATTAGGACTGTTCATGTGAACACAGGAAAAAAAATTTTTTCTCGGATTTGAATGCATAGTTGTTTATTTTGTGCCATTTGACATAGTAATTGACTGTGTAAAAAATCTTTCCAATCAGATAATGTTTAGGGGGTGCTCAATGACCATAAAGTTTTACGAAAAACGTCAAAAACGTGGAAAAAGTTCCAAAGTTCCAAAAATTTCTAGAACCTGGTTAGTTAAATTTTTTCCACTGAAATATTGTCTGATTGCGTGCTATATAGATTAATTAAAGTGCAGCAGATTAACTGCCATCAGGGCACCAGACTAAAAAATGTCTGCTAGTGTTTAAAACAACTGTGTTTATATCATTTTGTTAAAATTTGTATTCATAATTTTAATACTATTATTTAACTCAATTTAGAATTTGTTCAAACAGAATAAAAAGGTTTACAAGTATAAATATTATTTTTATTTGGAATTTCAGTTTGACAACAAATGTATTAATATTTTGATAGTACATAACCTTAGTAACCTATTACTGAAAACTAGCATGGTAGTCTGGTAGTGTATTGTTTGTTATTAAGTGCAGATAATAATAATTTCTAATTTGAAAATATTTATTTAATTTCTTTAGTAATAATTATTATTATATATTGCTGCAGCTGCATAAACCAACAACTGAATGATAAGTTTGTATAATATGGTATTGAGTTTTGATTTTCTCATAATTTTTCAGTTATCAATGGCAGCATCATCTCGTGTTGCTATCTCTAGACGACTTCAAACCGAAATCTTTTTAATTGGACAACCAGAGCCAAATCTTCCAGATAAAGTTCTGCCCTTAACATCTGATGTTTTAAAAACATTTTTTTATCATCTTAATTCAACCAAAAAGTCAGTGCCTGAAAGTCTTAAAACAACTGTTGATGAACTGATTATTATTTGGAATAAAGCCCGTATTCCGACAGCATTTCATCCGAATGTAGTCTTAAAGTTGAAAACTTTAGTCCAGGAATTTAAATTAATAAAAAAAAAAAAATCCAGATTGTCAGATTCTCAGAAATCAAGAGAGAAATCATTTACAGACACCATTGGCCTACTTTTTGACATTGCCCACAAGGATGCTGAAACCATGATCAGAATTGAAGAAGATAAAGAATTTTTATTGGATCAGAGATGTCAGAGAAAAATGGTGATGTTTGGAGAGGACAAAGAACTTTCAAAATTAGAAGCAAGAAATGAAGCAAGGAAACAAGCAGAGAGAGAACGAAAGCTAAAAGAAGAGCAAAGACAATCTGGTGCGAGTGCAATAGTTCCTGTTATTGAACCTTTACATGACGAAAGTTATAGTGATGACAACGATAACGATGCTGTTGATAATGACAAAATGGTTGATAGAAATTTTGAGATAGAAATCCCTGTTTATTACAGACAACAAGTCAGTAAAGCAAGTTCTTCAGGGTCAGCTGAATCAAGTTTAGCAAGTACTCCAAAACGACAATGTATCTTAGATACAATTCTTGACTCGCCTGATGTTTCATCAACATTAGACAGAATTAATCTATCTGACACAAAATTTACTATACTAGCAGCAGCAATTGCAAGGGCTGGTGGACAGAACCTCGATAATGGATCATTGTCACGTTCTACAGTCCGTAGAAAACGAACCTATCATCGATCAAACATTGAAGCCACTGTTCGAACTGAATTCTGCGATTTGGACAAACCACCATTAATCGTCCACTGGGATGGCAAACTGATGATAGATCGTACAAATTCTGCAGACCCTAAAGCAAATGTTGACCGGCTATCTGTAGGTGTGACAGGTCACAATGTTGACAAAATACTTGGAATAGCAAAACTATCAGCTGGAACTGGAGAAGCCCAAGCAAAAGCAGTTATTCATCTGCTTAATTTCTGGGACATAATTGGTGATGTTATTGGAATGAGTTTTGATACTACAGCCTCTAACACTGGCTTCGAAAATGGTGCATGTGTAGTTCTAGAGAAACATATAGGTAGAAATTTGTTATATTTTGCTTGCAGACACCATGTTCATGAGATCATAGTAGCAGGAGTGTTTGGATCACTATTTGGACCATCATCTGGTCCCAACATACCTCTTTTCCAGAGATTTCAGCAATATCGGCCCAAAGTTAATCAAGGAAATTTTAAACCTCTGGATGACATTCGAATGAAAATAACCCTGGTGCAAGAACTACAAAATGAAGTGATGGCATTCCTCAAAGAAAACCTGCATGTTAAAATGCCAAGGGATGACTACAAAGAAATCATGGATCTCTGTCTGTTAATACTTGGAAAACTGCCTGATCAAGAAGAGAAAAATTATCATTTCAAGATCCCTGGTGCTTATCACATGGCTCGCTGGATGGCCAAGGTTATTTATTGTTTTAAGATTTATTTATTTCGTGAAGAGTTCAAGTTGACCACAAAAGAGGAAAAAAATCTCTGTGAATTTTGCTTATTTGCTAGTCTAGTTTATGTAAAATCTTGGATATCATGCCCAAATGCCAGCGATGCTCCAGTTAATGACTTTTTTCTGTTTCAGCAACTTAAGCAGTTTGCAGTTGTGAATAAAACGATTTCCCAAGCAGCAGTCAAGAAATTTCAAAACCATTTGTGGTACCTTTCACCAGAATTGGTCCCACTAGCTTTGTTTTCAAACAAACTTAAAACGGAAGAGAAGCGAAAAATGATTTCCAACATGAAATTTCACGGTGAGAACTGGTCTGAAAGGTTGATCAAATTAAAGAACATTGAAAGTCTAGAGAAGAAATCTCTGGACATGCTGGTGACATCAGTTTCAGCAAGTGCGTTGCGGTCAATGAAGGTTGATATTGATTTTCTGTTCAACAACGATCCAGCTACCTGGAATGATTCCCCAGAATACCAAGAAGGAAAAAATTTAGTATATTCATTGAAAGTAGTAAATGATGCTGCCGAACGATCTGTGGCTTTAATGTCGATGTTTAATGAATCGATTACAAGGAATGAATCTGAAATGCAGAGGTTAATTCAGGTGGTTGAGGATCACAGAAAGCGAGTGCCAGATGCCAGAAAGTGTACTCTGAAGAGTTATAGTCCTCGCTAGCATTAACATTGCACGAACTATAACATTACGATAATTAAATTTTAATTGCTCATATGTTTTTGAGTTGACCTATTTAGTAGTTGATAACGGTTTGAGAAACTGTTACTCCTTTACAATAATTTTTTTTGTTTATAATTCGTATTTTAATCAATGACAAAGAGTCAAAAATCTTAGTGTTTTATTTTGGAAAAATTCTGATATAACAAAAACCGCAGAACTTTAGTCGTATTGCAGTATTTTATTTCATTAATTTCTCTGCTAATAAACCAGTATAAAGTGGATGTGGATTGTAATTTGTATTCAGAATTTAATATTTAGAGATAATTAAAACTGATCAAATCTGAAAAATCTAATTAACCGGGTTTTAGAAATTTGTGGAACTTTGTTACTTTTTCCATGTTTTTCACATTTTTCGTAAAACTTTATGGTCATTGAGCACCCCCTAAACATTATCTGATCGGAAAGATTTTTTGCACAGTTAATTAATATGTCAAATGGCACAAAATAAACAACTATGCAATCAAATCTGAAAAAAAAAATTTTTTTGGACAGCCCTAATATATATATATATATATATATATATATATATATATATATATATATATATATATATATATATATATATATATATATATATATATATATATATATATTATATATCCTTATAGTGTAGTCGAAAGAGTCTTTTAATGTAAAAAAAAGTCTCTTTCGACTACAATTTTAATTACCTCGTCTCTTAAGCTGTATTTGATTGTCGTCGGAATGTTAATGCAATTAAATTAATGCGGAAGTACATTAAATTTTATTGTTTTTTAAAAAATTTTTAAAAAACCGCAATAATAACGACTAGAAAGTTTTTTTAATTAGTAGTGTTTTTATTTTTGTTTTATTAAAAAACATTTTTAAAACATGCATAAATGTTGCTACATCGACTATCTTATAGCCTGCTGTTACAAGGGAGTGTTACTACATCGACTATCTTATAGCCTGACTCGCAACGGAGTGCTGCTACATCAACTGACAAATAGCCTGACTCGCAACGGAGTGCTGCTACATCGACTGACAGATAGCCTGACTCGCAAGGGAGTGCTGCTACAACGACTGACAAATAGCCTGACTCGGAAGGGAGTGCTGCTACATTGACTGAGGGTTTGGTTTGGGCAGGCAGTCTATCATTTTGTAAAAAAAAAAATTTAATTTTTTAAGTCTATGTATATAAATAAACACAAGCAAAATTTATTTACTTCCGGCTTTAAAGAAAATGGGTATCCTGCACCATTTGATGACTGAAACTCTTTATTAAAAGTAATCTCCTTTTCTTTGAAAGATTCAATCACTTTTTCTTGGTTTGCAACTTTTAATTTTAGATCACACAACATCTGCAATAACATAGTTTGATGATTTTCTGTTTTCAAGTGATTAGCCACTTCATCTCGTGTTCC